TAAGCGATTTGTTTCTCTGACCAATGTTTGGAATCATTACGTTTTTCTATTGGCAATAAGTGCCGTGATGTCACAAGTGAGCCCAGGAGAAGCCTTCTGGCAAACTCGCTTTGTTTTTGGCGGATCGTGTTGGTCAGCTACAGAAAGAAACATATTTTTCCAGGTATTCCACAAATTTTCAGGATCGTTGTAATGTTTCAGAGTTTCCCAAGGGAGCTTGGCTAATTTGAGAGTATCAAATTTCGAATAATCCCTGTATGAAAGTATGAAATGTATTTATGAGATTTGCCGGCTGTAAACTGATATTTTGCGTACTGCATAAATAGGATAATGGTCACTGAAACTAAAGTACTAAAGTAGGCGTTCTTGACTAGGTGACGACCTGTTGGTAATTTTCATATTTACCTTTGAGTGAACAAGATGCTGAAGTTCATTAAGTTGTTGCTCGACTTTCTGGATTGCTCTTAACCATAGAACAACCTTCGCATGACTGCAGGTTCCGCGAAGAGTTGAAAGAGCAATCCACCGCAGTTGACTCGTTTGAGGCCGCGAGTGGACATTGCTGAGTGTAACAATTCGGTTAAAGAGCAAGCAGGTCTACTTGACGCAAAGAGGTTGCCTAGTGTTTTTCGCAAGATAGCGTAACCAGATTCTTGGGTTAGGACGGTATAGTTAAAGAATACCACTTCACTATGATATCACCGACCTTGAATGAAAACATTTTATGGGCTGGATCTTCTGAGATTTCGCTATCTTCCGTAAACTCGAGTAATGTCTTGACCAGACAAATCAAATCTTTAAAATCTCCATACCACTTGAATTGATCCTCCGTGTCCAAGTAAGTTGAGTCGACTAGCCAAAGATGCAATTGATGATGAATCCTCGTTTACAAGAGACATTTTTAACGAATTGAAAACCGACTAAAATACAAAATAGCGGAGCGCGATAAAATACGTGTGAACTCTCTGAGAGTAGACAAGGGAAAAGAACCTGATCTCCAAAGATTACAGAAGAAATAAGTTATAACCGTCACTAGAGCACATCCTCCGATATCCATTTTCTGTCATCTTAATTGTTCTTAATCTAACGAATGTTGCATGTCACTGACATGTAGCGACCGTCGCGGAAGTAGACTAAAGTATGTATCAGGTGAATAGGCCGCTTGGTTCCACATGAACTGATAACAACTGATTTAATGAGAAATGGCTGCAGAACCGATTTAATGAGATGCGTTATCTTTATTAGCTGATTCAAGAGACCAGTCACATACCCTCAAGGTATTCGATAATAAAAATATTTAACAAAACGAGCGGCTTGTCGTTGTACACCTTAGATCTGGATGTCACGAATTTCCTTTTAGGCATACGAATCATATACCCTCGTATTCGATAATAAATTGTATACCCAAGATGGATTGTATATCCTGGATGTCATGAATTTCCTTTTGGGTAGGTGAATCCCACACAGATGGTCTCTTACTAATGAATAACAAGAGCTTTTCTTAAATGTGCTCCAGGTTCCTCCTGATAAATGCGACGGTAAAAGTAAGTAAAGTAAAACGTAGTTAGCCGCCGGGTTAGTCTTCGTGTAATGCTAGTAACATATAACAAACATTATACTTGATCGAGGTCCTTAAAGAGTTCCACTCCTAAATATTTATTTCGTTAATGGTGTTTATTTATGGCGCACTTCTCCTGTGCGAGGAACCTCCTCCGAATTTTTTCTCTTTGGACTCGTCGAAGAACGCCCTGTGATTATTGACTTCATTAGGAGCCTAGGAGCTTAAGCCCGACCGTCCACACTACACCGGAGGAATTTAAAACGCAACAATCACCAGTCGTTTTATATTTTTGCTTGAGGGAATCTCGGCCAGGGAAATCACGTGGTTCTCCTGATCCTATATCGTGTTCGAAAAGGTCCGTTTTAAAAAGTTTTCCGTCCACACGAAAACTCAAAGCCGGCGTTTTCAAATTCCTCCGGTTTGAAGAGCGTTTTCGAAAAGCTCCGTTTCGTGACGGATTACTCTGGACCGTAGGCCCAACCGTAGAAATAAAGCTCTATGCTTTTTTAAATTCCTCCCGCGTAGTGTGGACGGAGTCTGGAGCAAACCACGACGAGCACCACCAAACAGAAGGTTTAATGAGCAAAACAAAGGCTATACAAGTGTGTTCAGTAAACCTTTGTACATTTCGTAGCCG